TTTTGTTAGATACGATAAGCTTATCTCGAGTAACCGAATAGCAATTCACACATAAAAGTCAATGGGAAAACTGCTATTCAATTACAAGAGTTTAGCTTGTCTAATAGAATGTAGCCATTGAACAGAAAATGTTACCACGAGTCACTCCTAACTATGTGGATATTGATTTGAAGAACAGTTTCGTAGTTAGGTCCCCTTATTAAATTGTAAAATGTGGTGAAAACCAATCCATGCTATTTGCAGCTGTACATTTTAACATTATATGGTTTCCAAGTATGTCCCCAGGAAGTACTTGGAAACCAGACTAATCTGAAAGTACCTTTCCTGGTTAAATACTTTGTTATTATTATTATTATTATATTAGATATGTGCATGGCAAAAAACTTTTTATTCGTCCAAATCGATTTATCTGAAAAAATGTTATCTTACTTTTATTCCGATTTCGCCTATGTGGTGTTTCGGTTTGGAACAAATTTTGTCCATGGAAATTTTTTTGTGAGAAATGGTTCGTCTGAACCAAAATAGCATGAAAATTGGCCAATCAGTGTATATATATTATAAAGATATTTTGCAGTACACTGGCACATTTTCATGCCATTCGGTTCAAGGATCAAGTGAGAACTAACTATTAGAAGGGAAGAAAAAGGAGTAGTTAAAAAAAAAATCTATATTTCTATATTACATATTTATTAAGTATATAATATATAAATATACTTTTTTTTTTACAGCTATTTATTTTCTCTATTGGTCATTTCTCATTTGATTTATGAATAAAATCAACATTTAACGGCTGCGCCCAACCTTCAGTCATCTTGTTTTCTGGTGTCATGGATGGAATTCTGAAATAAACAAAACTGTTAGTCCATTGCTGTTTTTGTTTGTTTAGTGATTTATCCATCTAGTGTTTCAGAGCTACGGAATCACCAATAGCTTAAAATTCGGTCAGATCACAATTTGTTTGAAACAGAATGCACAAGTCCGCTTTATATCTATCTAGTTATTCAACTGATAAATGTAAACCTCGGTTATTGAAAGAGTCTCTTCTCGAAGATTGCAGCATTAAACGTTGTTGCTTCACATTTGCACCAGCTAATATCTCCACTAAGATGAATAATGTGATAATCGCACTTATGAAAAAATGACGGCACAAACTTAATGAAGGGAAATACCGAGCGTAAGCAAATATAAACTCCTTGTAAAAAAAAAAAAAATAATAATAAAAAAGGCAGAAATTAAAAGAAAATCTGCCTGTGACAAAGTACAAAAACTGCCGTTACCATGAATAATTCAATCTTTGGTGGTATTAGTCAGATCATAATGTGCATTTGTTGCAGTTTAATAGTGAATATATCAGATGAAATATGGAAATTATAATATTTTAATAACTTCCTATATGAACGATGATGAGGCTGCCTAAATGATTAAGAGCAAGATATGTTATAATGAACTAAAACCACTCAAGTGTAAGGTAATTTTAATTCAAATCTCCATCTGCTTATGTATAATTAAAACTCATTTAACAAGTTAAGGCCTAGCAGAAGGAATTGATAAGTTAGGCATTACAGAATCTCACCAAAGTAAATCAACCCGTGAAGCTAAACTTCTTGTCATTTTAAGATGTCATACCTAAAATGGAAACGGGAGATTTTAACAGGTTTTGCGAGAGAATAACAGATTCCAAGCGTTCAAAAAGTTTACAAAGAAACAGGGATAAAAGAATGTCATCCGGGGAGCATCTCAAGACATTTGTGCACTGTAAACAAATATGGGCGTCAACTGTGAACCCTCCGATAGGTTGGTTTTAACTTTTGATATTACAGCTTGACAAGTGCTTGACATCCACCTCACTGTTGAAATAAATATTGATGTTATTCTCATCATTTCAAATGTAGTTTTAAATACCGTCAGGATGACAGCCTCTCTTGCGTCAAACTAATATTTGCATTGTAGAAATTGCCAGCTGGGTAAGATTGACAATTAAAAAAAATGAAAAATAAAAGCGTCTCTTTTGATATGCAAAGCCAGTTATTATGTAAATCTTTTGCAAATGCGATTGATAGTTTTGTTTTAACTTCACTGTTGCAATGTTTTAAAACACGTCAATTCCATCATTTTGTGTCAATCCTAATTAATTGCACAGCAGATTAAGTGTTATCCAGGAGAAGAATTTAACAGAACGATTAATCATGAACATTTGCTCCTGTACAGTTTTTATTTATCTTAATGCTTACGTGGTTATTGAAATATCTATTGCTCATGCATATTTCTTTAGTTGTTTTTTTACATTTACTTTTATTTGTAAAGGGCTGTTTAGGTTTGTAAATGTCATGGTAGGTTTTCAAAGTGAATACACCACATTTTACCCCCTAATTACTGTTTGTAAATAAGCCCAGTAAATACTATGACGAAAGAAATGATTTTCAGACCTCTTCTCAGAGGATGGCATATGAATGTTAAAACAGGCTAATGGGATTTTTTTTTGCAGCAAATAAGACATTTTACCTGTGCAATATACCTGTGTACAGGAACGTTCTGCTATACAGTTTTATGTTGACCTGTAAAAATTAATTATTTGAAGCATATCGGGTTTTGTCCATGTGATGTTTTAGTTCGGATAAGATTCGTCCATGCAATCGTTTTAGGAAAACCGATTCAGACGAACCAAAATGGCACACGTAGCTGCCTTTTTTAGACTGAAACTCCTACTAATCTCAGGAATTACTGGGACATGTAGGGCTTCCCCTCCTAATACACTGTACTACACAAGACTATCAGTACATATTAAGCTGCTACACTACCCTATTACTAACCATTAATCCTTACAGTTCCTTAACACTTGTTTAAACCCTAAATTAAATATATCATGTTGTAGAAAAGATATATAAAAGCAAAACACATATTAAGAGAAAATAATGCCGTTTCTTGAGACATTTATAAAGAATTCTGACTTTTTAAGTTGAGGTTTATTATAATGTCCTCATAAAACAAGATTTGCCATTATGTATCTCTCTCTCTTAATATATATATATTTATATCTTTGTACAACACAATGCAACATGCCAAGAAGGAGCCTTATACAATCATAGTGTTGTGTTTTTATTTACATATTTCAACATATTATAACCGCACACAAAATAGACGATGGCGAGAAAAGCATGCATTTTAAAAAGTAATTATGCATAATCTTTCGAGTATTATCTGCCTTTGAACAGGACCGTATTCTAAGAAAGAAAAATGCGTTGCTGTGAATTTCATAAGATCCTATAAGGGGAGAGATTTATATTTATCACTCGAGTGTATATTTAATAATAGAAGATAAGCAAGGCTCTGGAGCTTGCATTTTTGAAAGCAGCATGAATTTATTGTGTTGCAATTCTTTCATGGGATTAGCTACCTATTTCACACAACAAGTTACAGGTGACACTAATCCATCTTTTAGAATTGTGAATTATTATGTTGCTACATATGAAATGATATAAAAGATTTGGAAATATATAGTTATGTCTCTAAGGTGTAATGTAATTTTGTAGCAGCACTTACAAGCGTGTGATTGCCAATGTCCTTCTTTTGTTGAAATGTGATGTGGTGAAGAATTACAGTACTTGCTAAGGATAGCTTTGCTCGGGGACACTGCTCAGTGCTGTATGACAACAAGATTACAGGGTGTATTTACTAAACAGTGAACTGTGTTGCATTTACAAATTAATTGCTGCATTTGGGTCAAAACAGATGCGTTGGAAAATTTATCTAAATCAGATTTTGTTTTCATTTGGCAGCATTAAAAGTCCAGAGACCATTAAAATAAACATTTAAAAATAAACAACAGTAGCCCTCACAACCTGCTGTAAATTTGAAAGCAGCTACAGGCACAGGTCTCTCTTCATTCAATACGAAATGTGCAGGGGGTGGGGGCATGAAAAAATGATGGTGAGACATGATTGCTGATGCATGTTGCTCTACTCTTAAAGAAGAGGTAATATAATAAATGAATGTGGATTGCTGTTCCATGCAATACTAGTAAACAGCATGGGGGGAGGCAATGATTAAAAAAAGGCTACAGGGTTTAAAATCCCCTGGAAAATAAGGTAAAATAATGGAAACCTCTACATTATCATAGATGTCATATGGCTATAGGTACTACATTGTAGACATAATGTTTGTATTCAATGTTTGTCATTTTGGGACTATGGATTATAAAAAATGGCCAACAGAAATTTGTTATTTTGGGATTATAGGTTCCCTTCTGCCCACCCCCTTTGAGTTTAAAAATTTAAATGTAATAAATATTATATATCTTATTTCCAGCACTGGGGCTCTCTTTTGAAGCCTTCAGCTTCTCCATTGAAGACATCATCAGAATGCCTGCGGTTGTCTTCGCGATCTACTCCAATCCATAGCTTTGCATAGAGAAGCAATGGATTGGAGGTATCCACAGTCAGGAGTTAGAAACTTCTCTAGAGGCTCTCCTGAAGACAGTCACTGAACCACCAAACAACTGAAGCGAGGAATTAACATGTCACTTTATTTGTTTTGTGATTCAGAGTTTCGTCTAGGGTCACGCGCTCCCAAGAATGCATGTGGTGAGAGAAGGCTAACCCGTTTGGTTCAACCACACAGAAGAGCTACTTTTATCCAAATGTGTTGAAAACTTTCCAGCAGCCTGCAACTGCAATGTCATAGAGACAAAAAAAAAAGGCAGGCAAAGGCTGATCAAGCCTCCTTTTTTTTGGCAAAAGTCGCGGCCATGAGGATAAGAGAAGGCCTTGAAGCCTCCCAAGATGGCAGCAGTCCACAATCATGGGAGAACTCTCTTTCTCCCCCAAGCTCTCCAGTCCCATCGCAAAAAGATGGAGCAATCACCACAGTGAATATGAGAGCAATGATGGCTGACTTTGCAGCATCCTTACAAGCCACAATTACAGGCCAAATGCAAAATATGGCCTCTGATATTGCAAGGAAATCCAAGAGATTTGGCAAAGGACCTCCCATGTCGAAATAAAATGGTTGACTTTGCTAACGCACACAACGAATTAGTGGACAAATTTAAGGCAATGGAAGAGGTGATAGAGTCTGAAAAGCTAAAAATAGCAGACCTGAAGGATCGGTTTAGGAGGAATAACTTGCGTATCCAGGGAATACCCAAAACTGTGGCAGACACGAGCCTTCATATTTACCTCCTGGACTTCTTCCAGGTGCTGCTTCCTGAAATCCACCTGGATCAAATATTTATTGATAGAGCCCACAGGCTCAGGAGACCCAAGCATCTCCCACCATCAGCAGCAAGAGATGTCATCACAAGGATCCACTACTTTCATGTAAAGGAGAGGATACTCAAAGCAAGTCTCTGAAGTCCAGTCGTCCATTACCTTGGCTCTGTAGGTTCAAGACATCAGCTACTGGTGTGGCTACTTGTCCTGCTAAGCTGATACTTCAGTGGCACTCCATTCAAGTTTGTCCGAAGAGGAAAGTTTGCAGAAACTGCGGGATTGGGGACTTCCTCTCCCAACCACAACGCAGGCTATTGCACCGCAAATACCTCAGCTGTCTCTGGACTAGGTTACCAAATGATTGCCAGTGCACTATGATGGCTGGGTATTGTATACTTGCTAAACCTCGTTAAATTCCTCTTTACTACCAATATGGGGTTACTGTATGTGTAAACTGTGCTAACTTTGTTTCAACTATTGCAGACTTAGAACCTAACGCCAGTTACAATGTAAAAGGTTTAGTGTATATACCAATACCGTACCAATGCTGCCCTTGTAGTGTGGGATATATACCTGCACTGCTAACTGATAAATATGCATAATGCCTATACTCTGGCTTTACTGAGAGAATACCCTTTCCCATCTACATTGAACCTTAGAGAATGGAGAATAGATACAATTAAGTGTTGGGCATTACAGTCACGAAAAACCCTACAGACATATGCTGTTAACTATGGACAGAAAGTCGTGGGCAGAAAGAATTATAGCATTTAAAATAGTCATCCTACCGAAACTGATGTACCTATTAAGTACAATTCTGATCACTCTTTACCCTGCCTATTTCAAATCGGTCCAAAAATATAGTAGGTTTGTGTGGGCAGACTGTAAGTGAATCACAAGAGCCCCGAAGTTAAAGGGGGGCTTTGTTCTTCCAGATGAACAAACCTACTTCCATGCAACTGTCATTGCAACGAGCATACCGCTCCCATTGTCTGGATCTTGTCCCCAATGGGTACAGATAGAGATCCACCTTCTCGCTACATACACTTTCCAACATAATATGGTTGTCGAAACACCCACCAGTAATAGCAGCACCTCAAAAGACTGTTATACTATTCCACCAAGTGTGGGACAAATACAAAAACAGTCTCTGCAATCAATCTGGAATATCTTTAGCTACGATCGTCTGGGGTTGCTGTATCTCTCATGCAGAGAGAACTTGCTGGCATTTCGGATCTGGACTGCCCGTATGGGTGGGACCAGTCTGATATGCTTCAGATATGTTCTCTCTGTAATAGCACAAGATGAGCTAAAACCAGCTTGAGTTCTGAGCGGGGACCCACCGAAGGGCAGACTATTTTAGCTGCTGTTCGTTCTCAGAATACTCTTGCGACCCGTTTTTTGCTCTCCATTAGTTTAAAGGGTAATCCAGACGTGGACCCCTTGCTCACGGTGCCTACAGAGATATCAGCTATGCCTCACTGATGATGCCTAACAAGGCTGAAACGATTGTCTGGGGTTGCTGTATCTCTCGTGCAGAGAGAACTTGCAGGCATTTCGGATATGGACTGCCCGTATGGGTGGGACCAGTCTGATATGCTTCAGATATGTTCTCTCTGTAATGGCACAAGATGAGCTAAAACCAGCTTGAGTTCTCAACGGTGACCCACTGAAGGGCAGGCTATTTTCGTTCTCAGAATACTCTTGTGACCCGTTTTTTGCTCATCTTTAGCTACCTCGCTCACTTCCCTCCTATATCTCATCCCTACCTTCAATGCGAGACCCTTGTCTGAAAGAGGAGTTACCCACCTCTACCAGTTATTTCACTTTCAAACCCTTATTGAGTTTGATACCTTAATGACTATGTTTGCCCTCCTAAAATCGTCCTACTATTCCTATGTTCAGTTATGATCTTTTTTAAAGTATGCTCATCAAAGAGAAACTACGACACAAATCTCCACAACCACGATCACAGAGTGGGAACAAATGTGCATTAATAAATCCTTGCTAACAACGTGTAAGTGAATCTCTATGTGCTATAGGTTATTATCACAATATACACACTTTGCAAACTCCAATCCAGCAACGCACTGGGAATATATTTGTAGCCTACCTAAAATCAGCAGCACACATAGAACAACATTGTAAGACTCGTTACCAATGGTATATGGTACCCAGCCAATTACACAAACTGTATCCCAATACCTCTTCACTATGCTGGAGGTGCAACATGGTGGTAGGTTCTACAATACATGTGTGGTGGTAGTGTCAAACCTCCTGCCTTTTTGGACTGCTATTCACAGGAAATTACACAACTGACAAAGTGCATGCTACCCTTTTCACTCTCACACATACCTTCACCTAGATTTACCTACCACTATCTAAGATAACATTGATAATGCACATAGTGCTGACTGCATAAAGATTAATTGCAAGGGCTTGGAAATTGAGTGCTGCACCAACTGTTACAGAGGTAATGTCAGAAGTCGACAGACAACGTTCATTTGAGCGGATTCTTAACCCCATATTCTCCCCCACTAAAACGTACATTGATTCATGGAAATTGTGGGACACATGGAGATTGGGTACCTGAAATGTTCAGTACAAACGAACCCATACCAGATGTATAATAAGAACATATTTTGTACCTATACTAAACGCTGTTTCTACCTGAACAAAGGTTTTACGATGATTATAGTAAGGCAAATCAGGCCTTGAACGAATGAATGTGTCACTTCAAGTATGTGTAATGTAGACAAAATCTGTGTACGAAACACTCCCCCCACCTTTACTTTCTGTACCCTGCCTATTATTTTAAAAACTTAAATAAACTTTCAAATTATAAAAAAAAAAAAATTGTTCAGGAATGGTTTGCGGAACCTGACAAAGAGTTCAAGGTGTTGTCTTGGACTTCAAATTTCCAAGATCTCAAAACCTCACAACTTGCAGAACTTAAAGGATCTGCTGCTAATGTCTTGGTACCAAATACCAAAGGACATATTCAGAGGTCTTTTGGAGTCCATGCCTCGATGCATCAGAGCTGTTTTGGCAGTACAAGGGGAACCTACATGATATTAGGCAGGTGGTATTAATGTTGTGACTTATCAATGTGTATATATATATATATATATATATATATAAAATTAACTTGTCGATAAGTATCAAATATGCAACTGTATACAAATGTAATATGCACCTGTATAGGCCCCTTTAAGTGAATTTAAAGTTAATTACTTACTAAGGGCTTATGGGTCTGTACATTACATATATCCAGCAAAGAAGTAAAAGGTATACATGGATTACAATGCAACTATTCCAGTCCTTAATTACTTAATAAGCTGCTGTTTATCAATCAAGTTATATGGATGGCAGCTTTCAAAACATCATTTGAAAATTATTCTTCCTGTGAGGCTTACCCTGTGAAATCATGAATGATATTCAGAATCCCGCACCACCACTGGATGACCCGCACTGGTGCAGAAGGCATACCTAATGGGCATATCTACCAATATCAATACTTAAGTGATTTTTTTTTTTTTTTTTTATATAATGAAAGAAGGTAGAATCTGCTTGATGACCTATTAGGACTGTTTGTAGTAACTGTTTCTTTTTTTTTTTAGATTTGATCTTATAGTTTAACTTTAAGGAAAACATTTGTCATCAAATAATTAATTTAATTACTATGTTAGGATAGTAAGAGACATATGACATTTCTATTAATTTATAGTAATATTTCCTAACGAAAAACATATTTTTTTTTAAGACGAGAGTGTCATAAGTAATAAACAACATCTTGAAGTTAGAAATCTTTTAGAAATCCCTTCTGCGTATTCTTGTCTTTCTTTTTCATTAAGGTTCTGTCTAGAGAGATCTCTTTGACATTCAAGAGACACGCTTAAAAGCAGAAAAAAAATCATCTCATAGACGCAATGTCATGCATTGATTTGCTAAGAGTTTACATTGAATTATAATGTGAATAATAGCTTGTAAATCTCAGGAGCAGCTCTAGTTGACTGAGTAGATAAAGGTGATTTAAGAACAAAAGGAAAAATACAGTCTGGTAGATTTAATGATGTGCTACGATGCTACTAAAACTTTGTCTTAAGCGCTGCTATATAAAATCTTCCACCAGACTGCTCTGCTAATTCCCCTGAACTTGTAAATGTCAATCACACCCCTTCAGATATTTGTTTCAAGACTTTTCAAGAACCCGAGACAAGTTGTGAAGGGAGTAGTACCAGTCTAAATGATAGTATCAGTTATTGTGAAGTGTACACTGTTATTCAATGCTGCTATAATAAGGTTACTGAATGTTCTCTTGTATTACATACAGATTAGTGAGAATTACTGTATGTGCTTTGTTGGAACGTGGATATTGCAAACAATCGGTTCTACCTGTAAAAATTCCCACTGAACATCTGTGAGTGAATATCCATCACATTCATTTTTGTGAATGTTAGGAAAATACTTTTTGTGTGTTAGAACACTCAATCCCAGTTCACTGGATTTCACAAAAAAGGCAGTACACATACAGGGTCATTCAACAAAGTGAGAATTCAAGTTCAATTCAAAGAGAATTTCAAACTTAAGGTCATAATATCCAAACTGGAAAAAAATCTCTAAGTCGGTTATGCTGTTCAGTTCAGCTTCAAATTTAAAACTCACTCTGAATTCTCACTTTTGTGAATAACCCTGATACAGTGATTGCAATGCAAAACATTGAAAAGTATTTAACAAAATGTATTTTGCTTGTTTTTACATAGTTGTGATGAATTTCTGCATGTAGTAAATCTGCTATCAAGACCATTATGGATGTAGTCATGTGAAATACAATATTTCAAAGAGATACTATAGTGCCAGGAATACAAAGCTGTATTCCTGGCACTATCACTTCCCCTGCCTCCCACCTCCCTCACGTGCCCCTATCCCCAGTGAATAAAGGGTCAAACCCCCTTGTTTTACTTACCTGATCCCAGCACCGATGTCCCTGACTTAGTGCAGCAATGTAAACATTGCTGTTTCTTTGGGCACTAAGGGCAATAGGGACACTGTACCCAGACCACTGCAAAAAGCTGAAGTGGTCTGGGTGCCTACAGTGTCCCTTTAATTTGGATGTGTTTTGGATTTTAGACGTAGCTCCCAATCTTATTGCTCATCCCTCATTAGACCAGCTAGTAATATGGCTATCTGGTATCTGGGAGTTGTGTGGATATAAAAGTACTTTGAACCCTGAAAGTTAAGTTCTCAGCTAGTTGGCAAATATATGTTGAACCACTTCAGTCAGGGCCGGCCTGACCATTGGTCCCAGTGGGCATTATGCCGCCCCTGTACCTTTTACAATTGTGCTGTGCCTCCATTTGCATATATATACCACTATATATATATATATTGAGATCTCTGGGCTCCTGCTTTTTTATGCTATGAAGAGGGGGCCCAGAGACTATATTTCCATCTCCTCCATCAGGTCCTTTTCTCTGCCGAGCCACGGGAGGAAAGGACCTTATGGAAGAGATGGAAATATGATCTATGGGCCCCTTCTTCCCAAGAAACCTTCGTGTGCCACTGGGCCACTAGGCAATCTCGTGTCCCCCAAACACTGCATCCACTGCACACTCTGCATACAATACACAAGCTCAGACAGTTAATTTCATACTGCATAAATTAATGGATGTAAGTGTGTTTTGGAGAGCATGTTTTTTTGGGGGGGCAGGAGGGCGGCAGCATTTCACCTATGGACCTAGGGAGTACTATGCCCTGGGCCGGCCCTGTCTTCAGTACCAACATAGACTGCTGGTGTGTGAGTCACAGCCAAGATAGACTGGACTATAGCTACATATACAAAGTGATTTAACACCTAAACAGCAGATAATGAGCAGCTAAACTGCAGGGGCATAATTTATATGCCAAAACCATTTCAATAAGCTAAAGTTGTTTGGGTGCTTTAATATCCCTTTAATATTCTACCATTATCTCTATATTCATGTTTCATATCTAAACCGATGCTGTACAAAGTGTTAAATCAATTTATTACATTTTGCATGATGAAACTGGAATGGGTATTTATATAGGTGTCTTAACACATTGAATTGAAAATGAATTACTCTTTCATGCAACACAAAAGCTTTTACAGCTCAATTTACAAATAAAATAAGTAAATGAAACAAATGAAGAAAAGATTCATAATCATCCTACTCACATTGCACTCAAAGAAGAAATATTAAATGTAGAAAAACTGATCCCTGCGGAACACATAACATTTCTTTATTTCTATTGATTTTTTTTTATTTGTCTGAATACAGGCGAAAAGCATTCACCCAATGAATATCTTTAGGAGGAGAGCTCCCTACCTTTTTTTTTTTTAATGAAATCTGCATAGCCCAAATGTAATATTTTTGTATAAGCCTTTCAAATTATTTATTATTTTGAAAACTATTTTAATATTTTGATGTATTGATATTATTTTATATATGAATATTTATTGGATATTTTAACACTTTTTTTTAAGTTTATCCAAAAAATATTAAATCATTTAAGAAACTTATAAAAAAAATATGATTAAATCAAGGTCAAATCATAATAAGGTGATTTCAATACAGCAGTTAATATCCAATCTTGAACTGCCCAAATATGATACAAATAGATGCATCTTGACCCGTTCCACCACTAGTAATGGCTAAGTCAGCACCAATATAAATATTAAAACAGTTGCAGCTTAACTTCTATAAAAAAAATAACACATTTATTAAATGTTTCTTGGGTATAATACCCTATATTGAGAAAAAGGTCATTATATCCTCAAAAAGTTTAATAAATGCAATTTTTTTAGGAATGTTTCCATTTGATTTCTCTTCACTTTTTATTTTTTAGATTTCCTCTACACAGTTATTCGCAAATAACAGTCAAAATAACATTATGCAGAACATGTATGTTGCTACTTACTTTGCGGTAAACTTATTTTGACTTACATTATCCAGATGTGTCCACCTACCTCCATCAAAGGCCATGAACTTACCAGTATTTTATGATTTCTCTAACTTGTGGTTCAACAATAAACATTGGCATTTGTTCACTAGTGAAATTTGGTGTTACTAACAGGGCTGGTTAGAAACTGTAACAGATCATTTGGGAAAGTTGACATGGGAATTGCAATTTGTTTTGTCGAAAATGACCAAGTACCAACAATGAGAAATCTGCTCTACCTCAGCCGGTTTAGAACAGTTCTAATTATTCATTTGAGACCTTTGACATATTGACTTTGACTACATATATATATATATGTATATATATATATATTTTGCCTATAAAAAAAATAAAATCACAGTGGCAAGGACACTTGTTAGTCAATGGTATATAATAATTTATTTTTCTTCCATCTCCACAGTTATCATAGCTAGCTACATGACTGATGCCATTACAATTCATGGCAATGTTGCCCACCGACACTTGACTTGGACAAACACAGTTGTAAAGCACATAATCCGTGTACAATGTCTCAACCAAACACGTTTGCAACCAACGGTTGAGTTCTTGTACATAATAAAGTTTACAGAGGAGGTTTAGTTGCACGTATACCAAAAAGCATGTATACAAAAAGTGTTTATTTTGGTATTTATAATATCATGAAAGTAGAAAAACCAAACTAGAGAAATAAATCGAGTTTTCAACTTACAATAGATACATCATAGCAAAACAAATGGCTTTTTTTCAAGTTACATTTTCTTTAAAAAAATGAGTTTCTTACAATTTTCACAAGTAATGAAATATTGATAAAGAAAGTACTTATATATGAAAAAAAAACAAAAAACCCAAAATGTAAAATTGCCAAATAGTTTTGTTTACAAAAAAATCAAAACTATAAAGGGTCACAAAATATATAAAAATGCCACATTGAACGAGGCAATTGTACTCTACCTAAAAAGGTAGCATACTCCTTGGCAGTCATACTCAAACAGTAGTGACTGATAAAAAGGCATTGTGTACTCTGGTTCCATCTGGAGACTTTTCACCATGTGTCATAAGTTCTTGGATTGTCATCCAGTTGTCCAAAATTTTTTTGTTACGTTTTTTCATCATTTTTTTGTGACTCAGTTCAATGATACTCACTTCTTTTTTACTTTCACTGCCACTTTGAGGGCTTTCCTTTAAGCACTCCAACCTGCTACGCATCATAAACTCTCGTCTTCGTCTTTGTTCCTTTGCTCTCATAAGGTGCTGCTTTCTCTCCTCTTTGCTCCAGTAGCGGCCCATTTTCATTTCACTCATTGTATCATCATCTGTTGTCATTCCACTTCTCTCTTCCTTGATTTTTAAGGCACGTTCTTTCAGAAGTTTATCTCTTACCGGCCTTTTGGTGATATATCTCGTTCCATCACTCCTGATCTTTACTTTCCATTCCATCCTTGGCTCTGATGACCTTTGTGAATCTTTGCACATGGTCACCAGGTTTAGCTGGCTTTGTGAATACTCCACTGCAGATTTCTGTTGGATGAGTTGCATGTAACTTTGATAATGTCTTGCATGAACTGGTATATTTCCATATCTGTAGCTGGAATTATGATAGGGTGAAAGGTACGGAATTTCTTCTGCACTGTGTTTATGTTCTGAGAAAGTACTGCACTCTAACACATTCTCTTGAAATTCAGTACAAAGGTTCTGATCATTTGCTTTTTGTTTGTTTAATCTGTTTTCTGTACTTCTAAGTCCAGATGCTAAATGATTTGTAACAATAGTGCTTCTGAGATTCTTACGGTTGGTGATACTAATTATTCGCTGTATCGAGCCTTCGGGAGATCGGTCTACAGTTAGAGGTGTGCTTCTACAACTCTCAGCTGTGTTGTAAGCACTTGAGCTGTCCTTATCTGATCTCTCCGGATGCTCTGTGATGTCACCTGTTTTACCACTCGGTAGATCTATGCTGGTGTTATAATTTCTGAATCCATCATTATGCATAGACCATATATCTTCACTCTGTTTGCCCATATGTTGTCGTCGATGAGCCTGCATAATACTTTGGCACTCAAGCTCAATATTTCTCAGTTCTTCATTCAACATTTGTAACTCATGTTCTACTCCACTTTGTTCTGCTCTGCTACATTCAATTGTGCTACTAGAATAATAAAGGTCATACTCGCCTCGATTTCTGATCTGGCATTTAAGCTCTAACAGTTGTCTATATCTATCATATTCTTCTTCTTGATTGCCAACAAAATCAGAATCCATATACTCTCCAGAAGCAAAGCTTTCATTGCAATGCAATTCAATGCTTCCCAAAGTTTCCTGACTTTGCTGTAAATCCCTGTTTGTTTGCAAACATGTGATGTTGGGGTCCTCTACTATGTTTTCTACTTCTGAACTTTCATCATTACGTTGGCTTTCATCAGTTCGGCCCACACCACTGTCTTTTTCGTGGTTGTTGGATGATGAGGTGGCTGTGTCTGTTGTCCCATCTTCTTCTTCTGGCTTTTTCTGCTAAAATAAATGACATTTAATGAGCAATGTTTTAATAGAAAGCAAGCTAGATATAATATAATTTAAAGCTCTGGCATATACAATGCATGTATACATGTAGAATTTAACAGTTGTAATATTACATAAAGTTTTGCCATATACAAATATCATGTTGAATAAGTAGTCTAATAAGTAGGTGCTGTCAGGATCCTAACCTGACAACCAAGAATATGTTTCTTTTTCTTCTATTTTAGTTTATTGCAATACCAGTCTTCCACCACAAGTGGCCTCTCTAACAACTAGACCAGGCATAGGCAACCTTCGGCACTCCAGATGTTTTAGACTACACCTCCCGTGATGCTTTGCCAGCATTATGGGTGAAAAAGCATTATGGGAGATGTAGTCCAAAACATCTGGAGTGTGGAAGGTTGCCTATCCCTGAACTAGAATATACTCCGTCTCTCACACCTGCCTAAAATAATCACCTGAACTATGCTATAAAAGGCCACACCCGACTAAACCAAATGGTCTTCACAATGAGAGAAGTTGTGTTCTGCACCTGCCTCTTTCTAATACTTGTTTATGGTCTGATACTGACAAGACGTCTGTTCCTGGCTCAAAGTGATTCCTGATAACCTGCTGAACTCTGATTTCCTTTGATCCATCCTGATTGATCTAAACATCCTGCGTTAATTCAAACTGGACTCTGTTTTCTATTATTCCTTATTTGCTTTAGATCTAACCTGCCTGGACTTTACTAACCATTATATTAATTGCAACTCTGTTGGAAAACCCTGATCTGCATTTCTGGTAACTTCTATACAAATCCTCCAAACTAAAGAGACTGTTTACCTTAACTTAGAACCAACCCAAATTCCATTATCCTTTATTATGCTGTTCAATATTGTCTGATAATATTATGTTTACTTGTTACCTATTATTTCACTGATTGGTTTCCCTGTCTCCTGTAAACCTGCTTAGGGGCATTTTGAATAAACTTCTATTTCTTCTTCTACTACTCCTTCATACTTACCTGTAATTCTGTTTCTAGGTTCTGCTTTCTCCCTTTATATTTTTTATTCCTTTTCTCTTTTTATCCTGTTATTTTTGTTACCTTTGTCTAAACAATGTCTACTAACTCCAATAAACTACCTCAATTCAACCCCGGCATAAGTCTCCTCTCTGACGTGCTCAGAAACATGCCAGGTGCATCACAAGGCTGAGCAATTTGATTACTCATGAAATAGAAAATATGCAATGAGAAAACAAAGCCATATTTATGTAACACTGTCTTGCCTCCTTACACTAACTTGTAATAACAGAATTATCAGATATGTTTTAATACCAAGAATCTGGGCTGGAGTTAGGGAGATGTCAGAGTTAAATTACATAAGGTGTTTAGCGTTAAGAGGGATAAAAACTTGAGAGGAGTTATGGCTTTGGTATAAAGGGAGTTTAGGGTTAGGCATGGTTTAAATTTAGTGTTTAGGGGGTGTTTAAAATTGTTGTGTTTAGGGCTGAAATTAAGTTACATTTAGTATTGGGACACATTGGGGTGTTGTGATTTTAAGATGTGTTAAACTTGGGATTAAAATACAGTTTTTTTTAGGTTTAGGATTTTAGTGCTTACGTTTGGGATTAAGGAAAGTGTTTGTTTAGGCATGGGAAGGGTTACATTTAGAGTTAGGAAAAAGGGGTGTCTAGGGTTATGGAATGTGGAGTTTGAGCGGTTATCTGAAATGTACTCACCCTCCTATGGTGGACTGTTGAGCTGTTATACAGTGTGCATCACTCAATGCTGTCCTACCTATGATATGCGGTGTAGACGACTCAGTGTTGTCTCTTCTGCTCCTGCAAGGCATTTCCTGTGTGAGAGGCTGTTTGTTGGCAGGTGGGAGTTCATCCCTACCACTTCCTGTGCAGCCTCACATCCAGACACTGGAGGAGCTAGGGCAGCACTGAGTTTTACACCATCTATAACTGTTTTTGCAGCTCTGCTATCATAACATAGTAGGCTGAATGGATCACAGAGAACACTGGGTAAGGATTGGGGTACTTTTCTCTCCCCACCAATCCATTGGAGCTTAAAACGGAACATTCTTATTGCTGAAAACAGGCGTCCCCTACAGGATATATGGCTATAGATTGGTGCCTACTCTGTCTAATGGTAAATCTGGCAAATTAGGCACAGTGGTTTGCACAATAGCTTACCTTTAAAAGTTATTATAAGGTAATTAACAGAGTGTTATGCCCCACTAGTGACTTATAATTATCTAAAGTATTAAGAACTTAAATTGAAAAGACCACTCAATATCAAAATCTATTGAGATCATGGTAAAAAAAAACCCTGTTCATTGTTAAACATGCTGTGTAAAATCAGTTAATTTGTAAACAGATATGTGTACCAGCACAAACAGCCAAAGGCAGTAAAAACAAAAACAGAATTTCTAGAAATTGGGGAATTCATATTCACTTCCGGACCACTTATTATTTTTGACACAGACACACAAGAGATTAGCACAATTTTGAATACTAAGCTCTACTTGGAAAAGAATTGTACATTGTATATGATTCTTTTACCTATGATGTTTGAGTTAATTCAGCAAATAATGCTGTGTATGCAGACATATAACAAAATCTACACGAGAGCTGATGATATAACCATATAACTTAATGTATTTGTATAGTTATATTTTCATTATGTTGTTTATATCTTAACATGTTTTTAGTTAGAGATCTTGTTCACTACCTGGGACTGAACTGTGCAGAATATAATTATCTCATCCAAACAAAACAACGACAAATGTAAATACTGCTTTTCCTTACATGTACTGTCATTATATTCCTATAAAGATTCTCTGTGTAAATGAATAAAGAGACGTTAAATCCCAAGTTTAATCTCCTTTACCTGTTGAATTTCATTCACTGTATACGGTGTTGCCTCATTACGTTGCTCTTCCAACAATTCCATCTTTAACTCCTCCAAAAATGCATTCCTTTCATCATCAAGCCACCCTTCATCCAGCTGTAAAGAATACATTATTACATTACATTAGTAGTAACACATCATAATGTGGTGCATAGCCTAATAGCAATGGCTGAAATGCCTTTCATCCTAATGACTCTCTTTTGAAAAACAAGCTATTCATACTTTGCTTAGTATAATAGTATAAAGCAATACACAAAAAGGCCTTCTTTTATTTTAAATATTCATTTTCGGTTCCTTTCAAGATATTTAAAACGTTAGGGGCTTATTTATTTATAATCGGTACGATTTCCCAACATAGAGCATCTTTAATATACATTTTCAGACAGTAGTAAACAGCTGCATAAAAGATCTCATGTTTTATTATTAGGTTGATATCATGAAGTAGGGATCAGAGATTTTACAAGTAATCAAAACATGGTGAAAATTTTGCCTCAGGAGGTTGACTCCCATAATAGCCAGTGGAAGCCACAGTGTGCCAGAAGCTTGAAGGTATGGAAGCTCTTTAGCGAGGTGGGGAGCTCAGCAGTTTCTTGCACAGAGGCACTGAGGTTTCCAGTTATGCCCCTTGTCAGGCAAATATAATTAAAATGTGATAGTTTGGAGAGCAAATGTGATATTAAAGGGATACTATAGTGCCAGGAATGCAGAGCTGTATCCCTGGCACTATGGTATAAAACCCTTTATTTGCTTACATTTTCCCAGCGCCGATGTCCCTCGACGGTAGGTCCTGGCTCCACCCCGATAACCCGCAATGAGCGGGCGCTAATGCACATGCATGGCAAATGCTGCGTGCGCATTAGACCTCCCCATAGGAAAGCATTGAATTTGTGCTTTCCTATGAGGAACAATCTGACACTGGAGGTCCTCATGCAGAGCGTGAGGACGTCCAGCGTCAGATTGTGGACCAAATGTCCATTTCAATATGCGAAAACCTCTAGTGGCTGTCTAGTAGATTGTAGCTTTAAGCTTGTGTTTGAGAAATTTTATGTTAAACTGAAATGTTAAAGGGACACTATAGTCACCAGTGCAACTACATGTATTCCTGACCCTATAGTGTTAACACGACCATCTAGCCCCCCTGGGCCCCTAATGCCTCCATAAATATAGTAAAAATCTTACTGTATTCAAGCCAGAAGCTGTAAATCTGCATGCTGTTAGACTCAGGAAAAACAAGCAGTCTGCTGACATGTGATAACCTGATCCAATCACAGTGCTTCCCCATAGGATTGGCTGAGACTGATAAGGAGCCAATCAGCATCTCCTCATAGAGATGAATTGAATCAATGAATCTCTATGAAGAAAGTTCATTGTCTGCATGCAGTGGGAGGAGATACTGAATCACAGGATGCTCGTGCACAGAAGATCTGAGTTCACTCTGAGTGACTGCAACTGGAGGTGTTCCTAGCTTTCAATACAGAAAGAAAGGCTGCAGGGAGCTATAGTTCTCACCTGAACAACCTCATTAAGCTGAAGTTGTTCCGGTGACTGTAGTGTCCCTTTAACATAATTAAATAAATATATAAAATATATGTATCCATCTGTCTATTTGTTCATTGTTTCTCCCAGTGAGGGCTACCATTTCTGAATGAAAGTCCTTCCCAATGACTTACAGGTGAAACTCGAAAAATTAGAATATCGTGCAAAAGTTCATTTATTTCAGTAATGCAACTTAAAAGGGGAAACTAATATATGAGAGACGCATTACATGCAAAGCAAGATATTTCAAACCGTGATTTGTCATAAGTGCGATGATTATGGCTTACAGCTCATGAAAACCCCAAATCCACAATCTCAGTAAATTAGAATATTGTGAAAAGGTGCAATATTCTAGGCTCACAGTGTCCCACTCTAATCAGCTAAGTAAGCCATAACACCTGCAAAAGGTTTCTGAGCCTTTAAATGGTCTCTCAGTCTGGTTCAGTAGGAATCACAATCATGGTGAAGACTGCTGACCTGACAGTTTTGAAGAAAACCATAATTGACATCTTCCATAAGGAGGGAAAGCCTCAAAAGGTAATTGCGAAGGAAGTTGGATGTTCCCAAAGTGCTATCAAAGCACATTAATAGAAAGTTATGTGGAAGGGAAAAGTGTGGAAGAAAAAGGTGCACAAGCAGCAGGGATGACTGCAGCCTGGAGAGGATTGTCAGGAAAAGGCCATTCAAAAGTGTTGGGGACTATCACAAGGAGTGGACTGAGGCTGGAGTCAGTGCATCAAGAGCCACCACACATAAACGGATCCTGGACATGGGCTTCAGATGTCGTATTCCTCTTGTCAAGCCACTCCTGAACATCAAACAATGTCAGAATCGTCTTACCTGGGCTAAAGAAAAACAGACTTGGTCTGTTGCTCAGTGGTCCAAAGTCCTCTTTTCTGATGAGAGCAACTTTTGCATCTCATTTGGAAACCAAGGACCCAGAGTCTGGAGGAAGAATG